TATGAATGGATGCAAGATGGAGGAATAAAGCAAAGAGCTATATAGGTTATTACCTTGTGCAGCAATGTAGCAGTTTTTTCTTGCATATCCCTATTGGTAAAATATGATTGGTTTAGAGTCATTATTAAATTTTTATAATGGTATACTTACATCAACAAAGCAAGCATTAATATAATCAGAGTCTCTTTTGGTAGTAAGAACCACTCGTGTTGCATCATCTGTTATATATAAAGTGAAAATTATGTAAGTTATTGAAGTACTCCTTACATGGGAATATATTGAGGAACCTGTTCTTTGGAATATTAGCCTCTGAGCTACCGACAGTGTAAGCAGCTCCAGAAGTCATAGGAATAGACTATACATGGAGTATTAATGAATAAAACATATTTTAAAGAGGTTCATACCTTGAATTCATTATCAAATTCCTGGTCACTATTACTGTGCATCTCCAGTACATGAGAATGAAATACTGAGACATGTATGGGCTTGAATTCATTGTGATCCCCTGTGGTATATGGCAATAGGTATAACAAAAGTAGAGTATCACAACCAACTAATATCTTACCAATATTCACATATACAGGTTCTTCTGCTATCTCTTGCTCTTCATCCTCATCAAGTGTATTATCATTCAAATGGGCTGGTTGGGCATTAAGTGCTTGTCTTATTGATACCTCAGTTTCCAGTAGTACACCAATCATCTCTTCATCAGTTAAATGCTCTGATCTTCCTGCATCTGTTAGCTCATCATATCTTGGTGGAGCGGGGGCAGTAAGTTCAAATGCTTCATTGTTAGATGTGATTATTGGGTCATTTGTTGTAGATAAGGTCATTTTCCCTGTGGTGTGTCTCCTCCTATGTCTATAAATGCGGGAAATGTAGCATTTCAACCCTGTTACTATTACTACTTTTAAAACATAAAAATTTGACTTAACTTTTCTATGCAACATGCATGTAATGACTATTAGAAAAAATCATGAAATGGAAATTTTTCTTCTTTTCAATTTTGGCAAAATTTTCCTGTACTATATAGTACAGTGTTTTTAACCTGATTCTGGAGCAACTTTAAAAATTTGTAAAAAAATCCAATTTTGGTTGGAATCAGCTCGAAGTTTCTACACAGCATAACAACATCTATATGTATTAGGAAAATTATAAAAATAGAGAATTCTCTTTTTTCAGTTTTGGCTTAATATTATAAAACCCTGTATTATAGTAAAAAAACTTTATAAAAAATTCAATTGTAATTGAAATCAGCTCCAATTTTGAACATAAATACATGCACATGATCAGAAAATTATAAAATAAAATAAATTGTTCTTTAGTTTCAACAAAATTTGGCTCAACACACTACAGGGCCTTAAGCCCAATTTTTAGCCACTTTAAATATTTATAAAAAATTTGATTGTGATTAGAATTAGCTTAAACCTTTATTACAACATAAAAACTTGTATATGTAATGCATCAGAAAATTATTAAATACCAAAATATCATGGAAATTAGTATATTTTGCAATGCTAAAAATTATAATATGATAGTCATTAATTTTATTACTTACATAACTGTACCAAGAAGTACTATGATAATCAAGATGATAAATATTACTAATAATCCACCAATGGCTGCTCCAATTATATAAGGGCCTACATACAAAAAAGAAGAAGAAAATACGTTTAAATGGATTTGTATACAATTACTATTTTTAGTGTCTTCAAATAATGTAGGAGTAAGGGTAGGTGAACTAGTAACACTAGTAGTACTGAGGACCGTCTGCATAGAGCTGGTGCTTGATGACACTGCATTAACTGGTGTCACAGGATTACTAGGAGGGCCAGTCATCTCACTCCCATTCTGACTATATGCAATATAAGAGGCTGTTATCTGGTACATAAGATTAGGATTAACTCCAGTGAATGACACTGATGTGGTATTGTAAGGTACTATCATCTCAATGGGACTGCCTGACTGTCTTTTTCGAGTTGAAGTGGTTGTGGCAGTCACTTTGTAAGCAAAGAATGCACCAACTTCATCAAATGTTTTGCTATCCCAGCTAACGGTGATAGTGGTTTTATCATGCGATAGAGTAGCCTCTACTCTCTCAGGAGGAGACAGTAAAAGAGTATCTGGTATATTAGGAAAAAATAAGCAAGTGTGTGTAGATAAAACTAGCATACCTGGTTTGCTGAATGCTGAAACACTTGCTGATTCTCCTCCTCCTAATTCATTGAATGCTCTTATAGTGAAATTATACAACATACCAATGCCTATAAAAAGATAATATTGTCAATCAAACTCATGATCACTTTTATATTTACTTAATTCAGTAACAATGCGTGAATAAACTAATTCCACACTGGTAATAGGTATCCAGTATGATCTCCCATTATTATCATTTGTGATATTATAACCAGTGATTCGCCCATTGGGGTATAGTGGAGGTCTCCAAGTTAAATTAACAGCTGTATCACTAATGCTTGGCAATGACTCTGTAATATATACACCAGATATAATCACAGGTATTGTCACCAGTAATACAGGGGATGATACTAATAATGGAATTGATAAATAAAAAAATATCAGTCAATAATACAATACTAACCATCTGGTAGTGTTCTTCCTGCAGTAGTAGCCACTGGTCCAGCTCCAATGATTGTACTAGCACTAACACTAGCAGTATAATTCTGATATGGACTGAAACCAGTAATGAGACTCTCAATAATCTCATTACTATCTGTAACATTAATAATATAGACTGTAGTGCTTGCTGTATCCAGATTAGTAACAGTTAAATTATATATAATGATAACACCATTAGGAATTTCAGGTGCTGTCCAACGAAAAGATATAAATGTTTTATTGGGGATTGAAATGAAATTCTGTGGACCATCAAAAGGTACTGTAAATGAATAAAAGAAAAAAAAAACTATGTTGTCAATGCATTAATAGCAACTCACTATCTTGTGCTGTAGTAAAGGAGCATGTTGTAGCAGGCCCAACACCTACCACATTAATAGCAGATACATTACAAGTATAAGTGGTATAGGGATCAAGGTCAGAGATAGACAATGTTGTGTTCACTGTATTGAAGGAATTATTACCAACAAAAGAGCATGAAACACTGTAGCTCAGTATTTGACCATTTTGCAATAGCTTATTAGGAGGGCTCCAGTCAAGATCAACAGCATCAGATTCAATATTGCTAACAGTACAA